GTGACCAACAAACCAAAAAAAAAGAAAATGTGACAAATTACCCAGCAAGCATTTTCTCATTCTGGTAAAGAAACCAAAAAGAATTTCCTCAATGTGTTTTTGTACATTGGAAACCTGGGGAAATTTTTTTTTTGTGTTACTTGAAAAAAAAAAATCATTGAACAGCTCGATATTGCTTCATACTTTTACTCGGCTGTCTTCTTTTTATAACATACGCATGGTACGTTCATTGACACTACAGCAATGGTGAATTCAGCGTCAGTCTCGAATTAGACGAAGGAAGTTATGAATTCAAATTTATTGTGGATGAAGAATATAAATGTAGTTCAGACTATCAGGTAAAGACAATCTTACATCAAGTCACATGGGAGTGTTTCTATAATCTCTGTCCTAAAGTAAAGTAATGTTAGTTTAGTATTTGACTTAAAAGTTTCACAGTTGCTTACCACATGTTCTATGATGCACATTGAATGCACATAAAACGTACTGTTGCTAACAGCCTCTTTCACGGTAAAAAACTTCTGACAAAAAAAAAAACTCTGGCGGGCGAGAATGAATCGTATGATATGATGAAACAACTGTAATGCTTGAAGTTTTTGAACATCTGCCAACTTTTGTCATCTTTTGCAAAATAAACCAATTTTCTTTTTTGAATTTATAGAACTGTAGCCAGTGAGACATTGTGTCCATTTGGTACAAAATAACAAAAATATAGAAAAATACAAATGTTCAAAAAGCTGCAAGAAAAATGGTTATTTAAATTAACTACAAGAAATATGTTTGTCACAAAAAAAAAAAGCAAATCACTTATTTCTGGGAAAACTTGCTACTTTTCAAATTGGTAATTTCTTTTATACTGTGTTACATTTCATTTTGTCTAAAATATAAATTTCAACAACAAAAAATTGATTTTTTTTTTTTATTTCTTGGCTTGGTGCTCTTCGTGAACTAGATTTTCTTTGTGTGTGGTAGTGTGTAGTATATGTAATAGATTAAGGATACTAACTGGTGTATACATTTTATTAGGTTGATTTATTTTATTTATCTTCATCTTCTTGCACATTACACCAACCATTCACATAGCTCCAACTAAATGTCCATTTGTACGATCCTATGCAATGAGTTTCTCATTAACATTTTAAATGACATTATTTTAAAATCATTTGAAGTCACCGAGATTAGGTTTGAAGTGAAAGTTTGAGACAGGTAGGTATGGTGAAAAAACTAAAAAGACCACCAGACGGCCATGAATCAGGATGTTCAACAGTATAAACAATATATACCTGCAAGACAATATGTATTGTCACCGTACCAAGTTTGATAGGCATATCAAAAAATTGACCCAGTCATTCTGGAGAATCTGTTGCAAGAAAAATGGAGTATTCTGAAGACCAGTAAGACAATTCAATTTGATTACAAAACAAATTAAGTGCAATTGCGTCTTTCTAACCTCTTAGACATGACCTTCTCATGATTTCAATGTTATTTCGTTGTACAAATCGTGACTACATACCACCATGTTGATTCACCAATGATGTGGAAGTAGATGGATAACACTTGTAGTCTTGGTACAAGTACTTTCCTTCAAATATAATATAATTTTGACATGTATTAAAATTAGTCTGGTAGTTCAGTTTTCCCATGCTGTAATCCTCCTTTATTTTTGACCGGACTAGAAAATACACTCCTACTGAAACAACGGGTATTCTCAAGTGTTTGGGAATATCAAATCGTTTTGATCATTATAAGTGGATTTACAGAACTTGCCTTGCAGGACATTTTTCACTTCAGACAGTGATGCACTGGCTTGCATACAAATATGGCTAATCTAATACTGTGGCTTACGTTAATTTAACAGCGATGTATTTTAACTTAAAACTTAAAATTAAATTGTCACATGTATTTATTTTAACTGATTTTGTAGATGAGAAAAAAAAATATTTAAATTTTCCAAGCGAACACGTATATGTCAGTATGAAAAATCTGAAAGTGCGGAAACAAATTCAGTGCTAATAAAAGTTCTAATCATAGACCATGTGCATATCTTGATTTAAATATCCTCTTATTATTTTAACAGGAAGTTACTGGTAATGAGTTCGGTGGTAATAACATGATAGAAGTTAAACAATCCTAGGAAAGATTCTGACAAGCCATCACAGTATAAATGAATCCAGCTGAAGAAAAACGCAATATGCATGAATATCTCTGGTGTGACAGTATATAAACTTTGGATATCGTTATAAAAACCTCTGAAATTTAAAAAGATTTGCCATTTATTGTTATAAAGGGTTTATTATAATCCAGGAAAAAGAGGGTTGTTTTGAAAAGTGTTTTGATGTATTCTTTACATTCTTAAAAATGGTATGCCAATTCTTGTTCAGAAAACATAATATATTTCTAAGAATTAATTTATGTAAATAACATTCTCTGCAATGTGACGAGGGTTGGGGGGATAACACTATATAAAGATAGTAGTTTAGCTACACCTTCAATGACAACTTTATGGCACAAAATATCTTTTCTTACTTTTCGTAGAGGTATTAACTTAATAAGAAACCTACTTCATAATAAGTCTAATTAAATTGGACATTATAGCCTGAGACTATTCACTCTATATCTGCATATGTTAAACAATTATTTAATTATTTTTTTCTTATTGATTTCAGTATGGTGCTAGAATTTATTTTCATAGGTTATTTACCCCTTCTAATTGTAGTTTCTGGATAAAATTGCTAAACTTTCCATTTTACTTTGGCATGATCATTTCAAATAACAGTTTTGATATGTTTTTTTTTTTTTTTACCATTGTATCAAGAAATCAGTCGACAGATTATCCACATTTCTTGTGGAGTCCCTTTGGTTTTTGGAATTTTTGCCTTTGTAATGAAATTAAATTTTAAAAAATTGGATGAGGGAAAAAAATATATTTATGAATAAGTAAAAAAAAATTATAAAAAAAATAATGTGCTAAACTGTTGATAAAATAAATAATAATAATAACACTCAATTGGAAATACTATTGTAGGTGCAAGATGTACAAGTTTGAAATCTTAAAAAATAAATTTTAACTTGAAAGTATATTCAAGTTTTCAGACAAGCCCGAAATCTAGCATACTGGTACATGTACAGTAGTTTTGACCTATGCCATGTATAGGCTTCGTTGTTTACAATTCTGGTAGAAAAAAACATTGCACAATTTATTGCTGATTGAGCAACAATTAGTATCTTAATTGAGCGGTTATAAGGCTCCATGCCACAGTAAATAAGTTATATGTAGTGTAACATAAATACTGGAAAACTAAACAATTATTAGGTAGGATAGTAAAAAATAGAAGTAGCCAGTTTATGCGTGCATGTCAGGGCGATATTGACCTAACTATTAAGTCTATATTGTGTAGGTGGTATAGCAATAAAACTGTTAATGGTTCAGTTCGTAGATAATGCCTTGAAATATGCTTGATAAGTCGGTTCTGTATCGTCTCACAATAAAGTTTTGTTTGTCATTTGGAAATGTGCGTGTCTACACAGTAAAGGTGACCTTCAATTTGTAGCTGTGTTGAGAGTCGTTGATATCACCAACAGGATTTAAGCTGCATCAGTTTGGGAGTAGATGATTTCCTTTCTTAGAGATCAAAGCCTACTCAAGTTACATATGTGTATAGTAGTTAGTTTGAAATCCATTTACTCCAGTGTAAAGAATATAGTGAACAAATCATTCCCGCCTCATGAATTGCATTCAGCTGCCTGACCTTTGACCCAGATTCACCGGAAATCCTGGCGCCATCCCAACTACATTGTATGTTAGTTGGGACAGTACCTCAGCAACAACTTTAATTGTGTTTTCTTTGCAACAAAGTTCG